AAATGTAATATGAAAATTTTTTCCTTTTTAAAATATTAAAAACCAGAATGATTATATTTATACATTTGAATAATTAGAAATCTGACTGAAAGTTTAGAAGGGGAGGGGGCAGAGGATCGGACGGTGGAGGAAGCCGGCAGATCATCATAGTTTTCGAAATTTCAAGCAAAAGCAACAACCGTGCGGGTCCCACAGAAAAAAAAAGACAAATTAAATAAAATTAGAAAAATAAAATAAAAGGGACATCATTTTTTCGAGACTCCCCCGATATATCCGCTTTGCCCCCGAAATGTTTTCAAGGGCCTTCATGTGATTTCGTACCCTTCCCTTGGCATTTTCGTCAATTCCACAGCTTTCCAGAATCCTTCTGGCTTTCGCAGTTGCCACTTCCAACCCCCACGCTCTCTCCGTTTTCCTTACTCTAAACTCGCCCTCTCTTCGCTCCAAACTACCACTCATCACACGTGTTTCTCATAACTCCGCGAGTAGCGTAACATATCGTACTCGCTGCGTGGGGGTTACCTTTTCTTTTTCCTTCTCTTGTCTCTCTTTAGTTAATTCGTTCACGCGATGGGTCCATTTTCTCAACGACGACCAACTTCGTCTCTCTCACACACATACAATAATTCCAAAATCTATTTATAAATTTGTACAAATTTAAAATTTTAAGTTTCAAATATTATTTTAATCTCACGTTTATTTGGTTTTTTTTTGTTCACTTTACTCGATTTGTCAAACTATGTTTTGGTTCTTTTCCTTTTAAAATTAAATTTGTTGGGTCGTTTTATTTATTTTTTTATCAAAATTTCAAAATCATGTTATACTTGGACACGATTTCTTAAAATATAGTTACATATTTTTACTAGAGGATTTTTCATTAGGTATATATTTTGTGTTAAAATCTAAGGATCAAAATGTTCGCTTTTAAAAAGCACAATGACTAAAATAGACATTTTAAAAATACATTACTAACATAAACAAAAATTGAAAGTACAATGTCAAAATGTTCATTTTAAGAGTATATGGACCAAAATGATAAAATGTTTTTTAGTACAACAATCTGAAGATATGGGCGATCGAACTTCCAACCTCGAGATAAGGAAAAATGTCAATTACCACTGAAATATACTCATGTTGATAAAATGAACCAAAGTTAAAGTACAATAACCAAAATGATATATAAATCTATCACTTTAAAATAAATATATATAATTTTTCAATGGTAGGATTATATTTTTAAAGTCCACCGTGTTGGTTGGATAAAATTAATTTCATGTATGCCTTTGTATATATTTGAGATGTGACAACTCATTTTCAAGTTCCAACCAACAAGGTACCTTTGCTGATTTTAAATATCGTTATTTATTTTCTTTTATACAATATATAGTGGGGATAGAGATTTCAAACTTTTAACTTTTAGAAAAATTATCAGTACCGGAATAAATTGTTGTCAGGCTAGCTTAAATATTGCCATTTGAATAGAGGTGTCTAACTTATTTATCATATTCATGCTATATGGTCATACTCAACAAAATGTAGCACTCCTGAAAAGGAAAGTTTCTTTTGACTAATGAATCCTTTCGGCAAGAATTTAATTTGATTTATTATGTAATTTTAACATGAATGTAAATGAAGAGGGACCATATAATCAATGATGCATAATTCAGGAAAAAAAGGTCACTCATCTGTAAATTCAATAGTCTCATCAAATGACAAGGGATAAATGTTGTTACCATTTTCTATATTTACCATACAATTCTCTAACTTCAATAAACACTCACATCATTTAATTATGAATTTAAAAATATCCAATTAAATGTAGAATAATTGTGAATTCCACCAATCGTATACAACGAAATGATTTTTGGGAATCAGTTTTCTCTTTCAATAAAAAATGATTTAATATATTTATTTACTCATTAGTGGAAAGTCAAACGACGAAATTGGCTCAGCCGAGCCGAGCCGAATTCAGGACGGCCGAAGACCAAAAACAGAATCTCAAAGGAAACGTTGGAATTCTTCAAATGCTTCGTTTTCGCTGACTGAAATTAGAAAAAATAAAAGAAAAGAAAATAATAACAAAAAAAGAAATAATAATAATAATAATAATAATCATTAGGCCAACCTCCAAGTAACGAATGCCAAACGGTCAAGCCAACCAATAGGAATTAAAGAAAGAGAGAGAGTCACCGATGACCGGTACAGCCAGTTGTCCTCACAGCACGACATCGTCATTCCCGACGGATAAAGTTCATCCGGGGGGCGCCCCAACGGTACTGTAACTGCCAGCTAATTTCTTCTGGCACCCACCGCCCACGGTAATTCAAAATCAATCTCCAATCACGCCTCATCTTTTCGCCACGTGTCCTCATTAGTTCAGCTGCTACGCCACGTTACGAACTCTCACTCGCCCACGCGCCCAGCGTCCAGAGAAGTTCACGAACTTTGCGGATGGCGCATCCGATGTGAAAAGTCCGAAGTACCCCCGGAATTTGCGAAGAAAGTGCGGGATAAAAGGTGGCGAAATGAGACTTTTCCGTCTTTAAAAGGGGCATAACGAACTGACCGAAGCCGAAGGTGGGTGGAAACGGATACTCTACGGGTGGGCCACTTCAAACATCGTAAACACTCACGTGGGATTTTATTTCCCGGTCGTTGGACTGAATCTGAGCCGTTCAGATCGGAAGGGATTGGACGGTGTGGATTGATCCACGTTTTCGTATTTAAATGGCGCATTCATACTGAGGAAAAGAATAACTCCTTTTCTTCTCTTTCTTTCGTCTGACCCAAACTCTTCGATTGTACCGTCCTTTGAATTGACCATTATACCCTCCCCTTCCGCCGCATAAAAAGGGGTCAGTTATTTTCCCACTATAATTTTCATTTACTTCCCCACGTTCGTGTGTTGGTTTTTTTTTATATATATCTAAAAATATTAATTTTATTGCTATAATTTAATTTATATTATAAATTATTTGTTCAAATTTACATCATTTCAATMATCAAGACACCTATATCTTTTCTAAAGTGAAATATGCATTAATATTAAAAATTATAAGAGCATTATATCAATTCACGAATTAGTTTTTATTATATATAACATATGATTGTTGATTTTTTTAAATTTTTTTTGAAGTGGTTTTTTTGTTACATAGTACCAAAGCAAATTTTGAAAACCTTTTTAAGGTAGATAACTTGTTTGATTGATAAATTTTAAATTTTGAAATATATGAACAATAAATATGGCCAATTAAGGTTTATAAACTATGAAATTGAAGCATTGCGAATAAAGGTAGATGTGATTTATTTTCACATATTTGTCTAGTTAAGTTAGTTCAATGGTTGATTTTGTTAGTTTAAGTCAACTATATATCAGTTAATTTTTTTTTTAATTTTATCATATCTTGATTTTACATTTTATTTAATAAGTTTGTCAACTTAATGTCCAAATTGACCAAAACCAACCCGTTTGCATTTTAAAATCGAATAATGGGCTAGTACATACTTTTTTGTACCTTCATTGTAGACTGGAGTTTTTAAAGGTTTTACAATGCTCTAAATCTCATAAATTGTTTTAAAAACATCATTTTATGTCTCAACTATACTCGAAAACAACATATATAGTAAATGACATGTCATTTATCTGTCTGTCGTGCCTAAAAAAACGTCTAAACATTTAGCAATTAACGAAGCGTCAGAAATTTGGTGTCTTAATATTGTAATTAATAAAAAGTTTTTTTATTAGCATCTTTTTTTTCTCTGGATAAAATGTTAAAAGTGTTTTAAAACGTTGAAAATCACAAAAGTTAATGTCTATTAAATGCTTAACTAGTTGAACTAAGCTCAAGTTGACATTTATAACTAGATTTATTAGTTACTCATTGAATTTATTCGAGACATTTAACCTTTGACCTTCAAAAACAAATTTTTTTTTGTAAAGAAAAACGATTTTGATCGAAATATAATGGAGTTATGTACTCAAAATTATAATTTGCAATAGGGAAGAACAACTTGTATTGCTCTAAATAATGAGTCATCTATCAAAAAGTTCATAAATCTATCGAACATAAAAAAAAATATCATGATGTATAAGATAAAAGATCCTAAGAACCTATTAAAAGAAACCATTAGACATTTTTTAAAATTCAACAATTTATTAGTCATTGTTAGGGTTTTAATCTTGGCTTGCCACGTGGTATTCTTGTCGAGAAACACATGTTTAGGCCTTAGCTTGGAAATGTTGAGGACGAGACGGGGAGATAAAATTACCTTTAACTAAGTCAGTGGAAGTCCAACCAGATATTGACCTGAAAACACAGATACCATCGACGTAAAATCGGTTGAATACAAGTATGAAGAACCATAATGTTTGGGTAACATTTTGTAAAGCTCCCCTACAAAAGCCAAGGTCCAATTTCTATACAACCTAACTAAATGCGACTCGATATCAGCTCGAACTAAGTACTAACATAACTTTGGATTATACGTGGTAAATCCTTCGGTTGTCAAAAAACCCACATCAACAACATAATTCTAAAAAAAAGCCTCAAATGAATAACTAGGCTTATAATTTAACCAATAAAAAAAGATATATAGAAAATACACCCGATATCTAAAATATAAGTTTTCATTAATTATTAATTACCAAACTTTAAAAAGCAGCATCCAAATAGAAACTATTACGTGGCATGGTCGAGGAGGGGTAAAAACGTAAAAAGGCAGAATACGGTGGGCAACAGAAACTCGGGCGGAGAAAAACGCGTTTCGGCTTTTCGGGCGTTTCGTTGAACCACCTAACAACAACCACTTTCCTTCACACTTCTCTCCCTCTCTCCTCTTTCTCTCTCCTCAAGATTTTTAAAATAATAAATATAATAATAATAACAAAATAAATAAACAAATAAAAATTCATTGTGGGGGTTAGTTTTACTCATTAAAGCGTTAATATTCTGGAGGTATAAAAGTATAAATTATCCTCTCCTGCCACTTTTTTGGTTTTCTATGCCTTTCGCTCCCTTTTCCTCTCTTTCATTTTCTACTGTTCTCTCCCTCCAGTTTCTCTTTCGCCGGTGAATCTCTCTCTCCCTTTTTGTTTCTCTCGCCGGAAAAGTGCTCGCCGTCTCCGCCCTCCGCCGCCTGCACCCTAGAGGAATCTCTCTTTATTGCCGCTTGCGTGTTTTCGTCGTTTTCCTTCGATTCGGTTCCGGAACCTCTGGATCTCTGAATCTGACTCTGCTTCTTGTTTTTCTTCGTCTCTTTCGAGAATGTGGTCCGCCTGCGCCTCCTTCCGCCGTCGCGCTTGACTGCTCCCGCTAGGATTGTGATCTAGGGTTTCGGTTTCTGGATTTTGGATTTCTTTTGACTGTTTTTCTGCTGGTGTTTGGTGAAGTAACGAAGACGGAGGCGTGTAAGAATAAGAAGCAGCTCCGGGATGAGATGGTACGCATTTCGGTTTTGTTTCTCTGATTTATTATTCTTTTGTACGAATGATTTTTTAAATTTTTTTATTATTTTTTAAGCTTTGACGAATTTTTCTTCTTCTGTTTTATTTTTCAGATCTAGTACATTGTTTCAGTTTTGCATCATTTTTGCAATTTTTTGAAAAATATTTTTTGTTATTTGTTTTCCTCTTTCCTCTTTTATTTACGAGGTCAAAGAGTTGATTTCTGGTCGTCGAAATTGTATGATTGAAGAATTCCTCGTTGGATTCATGCCAAGAATTTGCTGTCAAACCATTTCCGTTGACTTATTTTCGTTGTTTTATCTAGAAAATTTTATTTCCTGTTTTGTGATTGGTTTAAATCTTCATTTTCCTCATCGTTATTATTTATCCTGAAATCGTCGGTTACTGTATCAATAGAACCTTCGCCGAGGAGGATTCCTTGACTTGTTTATCTCTAGAGAGTTTGCATTTATTGTCTCAGTTTTAATTTCTCCTTCAAAAAAACCGGCGACGCGTTATTCATGCAACTATGGCGGATATTGAAAATTTCCGGCTTATTTGACCTTTTAGGATCATGATATATATATATATATATATATATATATATATATATATATATATATATTTTAAAGATTATTGGTATATACGGCTCGGTCGTGAAATTCTGTTGAAAATCTGTTGAGGAATATGAATAGTGTTACCGACCTTGATTCTTTGACTTTCATAATTTCGTTAACTCATTACTATCTGGTGGGTCTGTGATATCCTATGTTGGAGATAAACCTCGTAGGAGTAGGTCGGTCGTATTGGGTTTATGATCTATAATCAGACTGGTAGCTATCCAGTTTGCATGCATTAGAATATGGTCAGACGCATTACCGTCGCTTTCATGTGGTAATTTGATGCTCGGGGGCTTTTATATTTGACGATGTTTCTAAGAGTTCCTTTGCTCTGTAATTGCTTGGCTGAATGACCAAACGACTTCAATTTAAATTAATACAATTTTCATTCAATTTCAAGTTCTCGATGGATTGTGGAGTGCTTATCTCTATTCGCTACCCTATTGTTTCGTTGCCAAACTTGAAGAACTTCATGCCGAATGTGCCTAATCATCTTATATTCGCAATTCTAAGAGTGTTGAACCTTACTGTTATTCATTCATTTGAATTTTTATTTTCCTACATATTATGATAACTGAGTGTGTTAGGTTGGGATTTTGACAGGTGGAGGGAAGAATTTGTTCTTTGAAAGAGGAAAGAAATGGGTTAGGTTTTTTGAAGCGCAAGAGGCTTCGGCTAACAAATTCTGAAACTGCCAACAAAAGTATAGCTGTCAAGGATATGATGAATAGAAGTGGAGGTGATGCTTTAAGGGCCTCAGCTCCATGTGGTGTGAGATTACTTGGTGGTAACGCAGAAACTTTTTCTTGTTCGAGTGGCATGTCAGATGAGAGGGATGTCTTTTCAAAAAGGAGAGTAGACAAGTTCGAATACAATGATTTAGAGTGGACCGAGAAGATTCCAGAGTGCCCTGTATATTCTCCGTCAAAGGAGGAGTTTGAGGATCCTTTGGTCTATTTGCAAAAGATTGCTCCTGAAGCCTCAAAATATGGTGAGATACTTGCGGCTTCCTATTGGATTATAAATGCTTTTCCAGAGTCATATTTGATTTTTGTTCATAAGTTGCTTTGACTTTTTTAAGTCTCGACTTTTTTATGCATGCAAATATGTTCATGGTAAAAGTATGGTGTTCTCTTGTTTTGTTTGATGAAATGATGTCTCTTCTACTACTTTTATTGGAGGAATGGAATATAACATTTGTGTTAGACACCAAAAAGCATATTTTAAATTTTAATCGCTAATCTATTCTTTGGTATAGCTGGGTGAGATTTGTATGTATAATTGATGCTACACAATCGAGATATTTTTTGAACTTTACAATAGAAAAAGAAATTCTATTCTGTCTTAGAATTGATGTTGCAATGACTACATATTGTCAGTACGCGGTTGGATATTGGAAGAGCTATGGAATTTTTGTGATTTGGAATGGATAAAAGTAATAAAAAATATATGAGAAGAAGCTTATTTATGCCAACATTATCTCCCCTTGTTATGTCAGACAATCCATTACAAATTGCAATGTGCATTAAAGATAGAGCTTATACGACCTTACTTGAACAGGATCTATGTCTTTGAGTTATGACTTCTGAGCTTAAATATGAGGTGGAACAAAAAGCCCATGATATAAGAGTATTTGAATGAAAAAAGGTTACATATGTATGCAAAAGTAGTATTGCAATGCATTATATAGTGATAAATTTAAGTGTTGAGAGTTTTGTTAGTGAGATTTTTTGTTGGCATCCAAGCGAATCCATCCTTATTCTTTGAAAGGATAATAGAAGAAAGTAAAAATAACCTCTTGGACGTTGGAGCACCTTTTAAAACAGGGATGTCACATTAATTTTTTTTGTTGACATCTTTGGTTTTGTTGCTCCGTTCTTCCGACCATTTTTGTTGAAAAGCGCATAGTTTCTCCTCAAAAAATTACCTCTCCCGGCCAAAAGCAACCAAAATAGTCCTTGGTGAATAGGGCGAAAACTTGAACCATGCACATACATACTTTTAAAAAAAGGTAAAGCCAACAGAGCCCTTCTATTACGCGACCGTAAGATTTTGTTATGTTTCACAGTAGTTACGCCAGAAAGAAAAGGTTCCAATGATTTACCAAGTTTTCTCTAGATGCTATTGTAAATGGAAAGTTGGTTTACTTTGTTGTTATGTGAAAGTTTAGGCTAGTTTATGCACACTTAAATCCCCACAGCCTCTGAAGTTGGGAAATTAATAGGATATAACTTTCTTAGATTGGTGATCACCAAACCCTAAACCCTAATCCTACAACGTTAGTTGTAGAATTTTAGGTTGTCTATGTGATTTAACTTTTCTTTGTAGAAGGTCTTCTACCAATGGGCACATTCTTGTATTATACCAAATTAGCTTGTTTTTACTGCTTGACTAATGCTCTCTGTTGATAACTCTTGTTAATAAATCAGGAAGTAAAAAGAACCTCTCTGGTACCACCTGTTTGCATGTTCTAGAAATTGTTTTCTTTTTGACTTTCCTTCCCAGCACAATATCATCTTCGCTGTTCTATATGTTGATGGAAATGCGGCTGATTTTTGCTGTTGGTAACTAAACTGGATCTTTCAGGCATATGCAAGATTGTTTCCCCACTGACTGCTTCTGTTCCTGCTGGGGCTGTATTAATGAAGGAGAAACCGGGGTTCAAGTTTACAACAAGAGTACAACCTTTCCGATTTGCTGAATGGAATAATGATGACCAAGTTACCTTTTACATGAGCGGCAGGTGAGCATTCTTTGTAATACACATGAAATTTTTATTTTAACACTGGTACTGAATAGGTAACCTGTCATTCTAGGAATTATACATTTCGGGATTTTGAAAAAATTGCGAACAAGATATATGCTCGTAGATATAGTAGTTCTGGATGTCTACCTGCCACATATCTCGAAAAGGAATTTTGGCGTGAAATTGCTTGTGGAAAGACAGAAAGTGTTGAATATGCTTGCGATGTTGATGGTAGTGCCTTTTCATCTTCACCATCTGATGAGCTTGGGACAAGTAAATGGAATTTGAAGGTTTTTCTCTTTCTTTATGTGTGCTTAATGGCAAAGGAAAATCAAACTGCTGGAGTGTGAAAAATGCTTACATTTTAGAGATGAAATCATACGTTTGTTATGCTTTTAACCAACACATAATTTTGTAGGCCATCGCTGAAGCTGGAGATAGGAACTGATTAGTTAGGATGTTTGTGACATATTCATATCTATTAAGAAGTTGATATACCATGAAACGATAATAAACATTTATTAATTTTGCCATCAAATTTTTGTTGCTAACTCTCACTTCCAAGTCTTTCTATTATTATTCTATAGCACTTTTAAAGCCTCAACCTGTGGAACTTCCCGAAACTTTTTTTAACGAATAAACTAAATTAATTAACAAAGAATTTCATAGTTCCTAAAAGTGACATTTTAAGATGTTTTGTTTGTTTCCTAACATGTATGTGAGCTTATTCTTGTATATTGTATTTTGTTCCAGAATCTTTCACGGCTACCCAAGTCCATATTGCGCCTTCTGGAAACCCCAATACCGGTAGGGTGGTTGCTTTATGTATCATGTATTTATCAGATGCAAGCACTTCATGAGTTAATGGATTTTTTGGCACTTATAACAGGGAGTAACGGACCCCATGCTTTATATTGGAATGCTGTTTAGTATGTTTGCTTGGCATGTGGAAGATCATTATCTATACAGGTACGAGTACTTCTATTATCATTTTAGGAAATCAGATAGATATTTGGTTTATGTTATTTGGTTTTTGTCAATTTATTTTGGGGTCCACTGGGTTTATGTTGATTTGATAGTTTTGAGTTACTAGGCGATGCCTAGTAGTTCGTGATAGTCCTTCACTAAGTTAATTATTTACATGTGGCAGTATTAATTATCATCATTGTGGGGCATCTAAAACTTGGTATGGCATTCCTGGTCAAGCAGCTTTGCAGTTTGAAAATGTGGTTAGAGAACATGTATACACCCATGATATCTTATCGACCGGCGGAGAGGATGGAGCTTTTGATGTTCTTCTGGGGAAAACAACGTTGTTTCCACCAAATATTTTGTTGGATCATGACGTGCCTGTATACAGAGCTGTCCAGAAACCTGGGGAATTTGTAATTACCTTCCCCAGAGCATATCATGCTGGATTTAGTCATGGTAGGACATTCTAGACTATGGTTTTTCCGAGTCATTGTCATTTATTATAATGGCTGAATATCTGTCGTTTCATTTTCCCCTTCCCTCGAAATGCACAGGCTTCAATTGTGGTGAGGCAGTCAACTTTGCAATGGGTGATTGGTTCCCCTTGGGAGCTGTTGCCAGCCAGCGGTATGCACTCCTGAACAGGATGCCTCTAATTCCTTATGAAGAACTTCTATGTAAAGAAGCAATGCTTCTCTACGCAAGTTCAGAACCAAATTGTGCATCTGCAGAGTTAGCCTCTCATCATTCTATTAAGACATCTTTTGTAAGTATGATTCGCTTCCAGCATCGTGCTCGATGGTGTTTGATGAGGTCAAGAGGATGCACCAGTATTTCACCAAATTGCGATGGAACCATCATTTGCAGCTTATGCAAACGTGACTGCTATATATCTTATATTAGCAGTAGTTATGGACATCCAGTGTGTCTTCGTCATGGTATTCTCATCTTTCTCGTTGAATTATTCTAATTACTTTGATGAGTATTCAGTAAGCCCGATTCCCCTCTAATTATGATTGTTCTTTTCTGTTTTTTAAAATATATATTTCTGAAGCTCAAAATTCATGGAGCATGTGGTGGTTATATCAGCACTTTGATTTCGTAGAAATGACAAAGAAAATATTGCAAAATATTAACATTTAGAGGTATATTTTGGAAATGAACGTTAAAAATCTTATACTACGTGAAATCTTTCATTTTAATTTACTTATATCATCTCTATGAATTTTTAAAGATGTTTTGAATAATTAGTCTTATTATACAAAAATTTAAATGTTAGAATCAATGTCGAATTTAATATATTTTTTGTGCCAATATCATGTTGAATTTTGAAATTATTAACTCACACTAAAAATCTTTGTTAAAGTACTAATTATTAATTCATTTTCCAAGTAAAATGTTAAGAACATGTTTCATGGTTTAAGTTTGCCCGTTTCTGATGACTTGATTTTCTGAAACAGATATCGAGTTGCTGGACTTCTCTCGTGGTAGCAACCGTACACTCTTCTTGTGTGGGGATATTTTAGAAATGGAATCCGCAGCTCAGAAATTTGAGCAGGAATGTGGAATATTGGATGAGATTCAGGGGCAAGCTTATAATGTTGAAGAGCTGTATTCTTATCCTCTGTTAAACTTGTTTAAAGTAGCTGATGTGGATGGATATACTCCTTATTGCAAGATAGAACTGCAGTTGAACTCTGAAACTGAGCGCGTTTCCAACAGCCAGCCTTCACTGAGTTGTGTCACTGAAAATCATAGACCTGAACCATCAGATCCTTCCCTCTCTTATGAAGCATCAACACTTTGTTCAGTTGTAGACTGTAATGAAACATTGTCCACCACCAGCCGTGTAAGATCTGATTACTTCACAGTGAATTCTTGATCAGAATAGTCATATTATGAATATTAAAGACTAATTATTGGTACTATTTTCCCAAACAGGTACAAAGGAATTCAAGTATTGATTTCAGGAATCATGATCCTGAACAGTCTTCTGAAATTTCTAACTGTGTGCTTGAACCATCGCATAACAATTGCTCAAGTACATCTCCTGCCAATGTACGTGCATTTGAACCAACGTCTCTACATCAAGAAAGTGACGATTCTGATGCAGAAATTTTTAGGGTCAAGCGCCGCCCTCTGAAGCCAGATAAAAAATTTGGGAGTGATGCCACATCTTTAAAGCATCTTGCTTGCCAGGTACTGTTTGCCATAATCTAGTCAAGATTGATTTACCCTCTGAAAGTTGAGGATAACAATTTTGTTTTAGTTTTCTATTTTTAAAAATTAAATTTAGAAACATTACTATTCACTGTGTGTTCTTTTATTTTGTCATATGGTTTTTTAATCATTTTCAAAATCTAGGTTAAATTTTCCAAACTTATTTTTGTTTTTAAAACTTAGATAAGACTTCAAACATGTTCTCAAGAGGTGAGAAACTTGCCAATGAAATTTTACAAAAACAAACCTAATTTCCTTCAAAAAAACAAAAAATGAAATTGTTATCAACTAGCCCGTCCTTGAGTTTTTGGGGCAATTGGGATTTGTTTGCTTGTATTTCTTGAAAACTTATTAAATGATGATTTTTTTAAAAAAAGTTGTGCTGTTGGCACTGTTTTCTTTCTTCTTTCTTCTTTTTTAATGGGTAGTTGGAAAGATTCATTTTCTATTTCTTTTCTTAAACATTTTTTTGTTTTCTTTTTTTCTTTAATAATTTTTTTTTATAAGTTTGAATTTTAGCCTTTTGTGTACAAAAAGACATTATTATTGAACATCATTCACCATCGCTAATTTCTCAGAAAACAGTTAGAAAGTACTTTAAAATAGTAAAACATTATTTTTGTCTAGCAGGAAAACTCTTCCACTGTTTTTAGGAGGATTTTTAGTATGCCATTTAAAGTGCTTATAGATGGCTAAAATTGGTTTTTTGAACATTGACCTTGTTTGGTTAAAATTTTAAAGAACGGTTTAAAAGATTTCTTAAAATTTTCGATAAAAACAATAGTTTGTACTTAAATGCTTTTAGATGAAATATTTATTTAATTTCCTCCTAAAAGTACTTAGAAATAAATGTTTTATATAAAATGTTTGTGTAGTTTTCTTTCTAAAAGTACTTAGAAGTTAGAAATAAAGTGCCTCACTTGAAAACTTTCCCTTTTTCTAAATGCATCCAAAACTGACCCCAAGTCTACTTGTGAAAACTTTTATTTAACTATTTGTACTGTACTTTCTGTTCTTTCTTAAATTTGGTATATGTTCATCATGGCAGGATGGCGGGAAACAATTCAAGAGACTCCAAACTAATGTGAATTGCGGGCGACGAACGCCATCCGATTGCCATGGAACTGACAAATCACGTCATAAATTTAACCCTTCTACTGCTCACAAGCACTCTGCAGAAAGCGATGCCATTGACAGGTCTAACAGAGGGGGGAGTACCCTTCCCATCTCTATTAAGTTGAAGAGATTCAACAACGAGAAGCTAATTAACAGACAACGTGCCTATGAACTCGACCACCGGAGAAGAGAAAGGTTTCAGCATGAGATGGGAAAGCCCAAAAGGGTACCACCCTCCGTAGAGACTGGGCCGAAGCGCCTCAAAATCAGAGGCCCAGAGCAAGTTTAATGGATCAGAATGGGCCTGAATCTGGGCTGTTGTGGTGGCCTTTGCCTTGCCTCGCTCTGTGTACAGCAGCATATGACAGAGCCTGACTTTGCTAATCTTATTTTTCACTAATGGAAGGGGGGTTCTAACAACACACGAAGGAAAGCCATAGATGATTGATGATTAGTCTTCTGGGAGCAGTGACACAACAAAACTTTTAACCTAGGATGCAACATTTTAACATTCTTTGTGCAGGCCTCAAAAAATAGGGGCCGTGTGCACGCATGGGTTGTGATGATTCGATTCTTGACGTATCCCACGTCGGTACCGGGCCATTTCTCCGCCTTCCCGGGACAACCTTGCTGCAGCAGCACAGGTAGATGATCTAGTCAATTTGATGTCTAGTCTTTTATTTTCTTTTCTCACTTCCATTTTTGTGAGGTAAGTGGGAATTCCCACGTACTTCATTAAAAAAAAGATACATAGCTATCGCTGCTTCCATTTTAATTTTCACGTTCTTTATTCTTTCTGTAGCGAACGAGGTACATGGTACCTTGGACTACTCGAATAAAATGCCAAAGAAGTTCCTTCTTTGTCTGTCACTTAGAATCTAGACACATCACAGTAGTAGGTTATTTCTCTTTTACTCCATCATCTGTTTTGGTAAAGGAAGGTGAAGAATATTATTAACCAATGCCGATCGTGCAGAGAGAGACAATTTTTGGGTCTGATTATCTTGTGGAGGCAAAGGCAAAAGCTCCTCCTCCTTACTCCCAGTTCCAGGTATAAAAGGGATATATGAATGGATGATTATATAATTATATTCTTTGTGGAGGGCGGTTGGGTGGGACCCCTTTTTTCTTAAGATAAAAAGAGAATATTTGAGTTTGAATGGTGGGAAGGTTTAGGACTAGAATTTTTAGAATGAGAAAAGAACCTTTTTTTTCTTCTTAAAATAGCTTTCTTCTTCAATGGTGGGTAGGATTGTGTTCAGTCTATATTTAGTTTGAGTTTGTTTAATTAGGTTATATGATAAACATTTTCAAGATCTACTTACTAATAAAATTGTACAAAACAACAAGAATTTTTGAAAATAGAGAACTAAAAATGAAATGGGCATTGAACGACACATAAACTATCCTTATGAGACTCTTATGAAACTTATTATCAAGCTCTGAAAAACCAAGGGTGCTTAGATGCGATTTGAGGAAGTTGATTTTATTTGAAAAAGGAAAAGGAAAGAGACAATGGGTAATGGTTTCTTTTCAAAGAGATCTTGCGTGTATCTTTCACTCGTTAATTTATTCTTTTTTCTTTTTTTTTTTCTCTCATAGGTTTATTGAATACGTAATTTGAGGTTAGCTTTTGCACCACAAGTCTTTGCAAAAGATTCATAATGTTTCATCTTTTTGTTGGTTTCTCACCTTTTTTTGCTTAAAATGGTGGCAATCTATCACTTCGCCAAATAGCTTTGATTGGATGAAACGCCAAAATTTATTTAAAAAAAAAAAAGAAAAGAAAAGAAAAAAAGAATTGTTATAGTTCTGATCATCCTATCAGCCCGGTCGGAAAACACAATGATGTCTTTTAAAGTTCTTTTCTTTTCTTTTAAATATCGACATTTATTTTTTCTTCACCGAGACATGAGGTATTATCATGTGGAAAGATTATCAAATAATTCAGTGCACTTCTACTATTAACATTTTCCCAGCTTTCTATGACTTCCTTTTTCTGGCTAAGATTCGAGCAGAAAAGGGAAAAAAAAAAAGTTGGGCCGTGTTGAATCTTACGTCTCCAAGCCCGATGTTACACGAAGCCCATTACAGCAAAAGCTCTAATATTGATTCGATTCTCCCTCTCTCTTCTCTCTTCCCTTTCGTCTAATTGAATCATATATTGTTTAGATGGTAATAGATAGCTTATCCACTAAGCTTGTTCGGATTAATAATTTTCTTCTACTATCAATTAGTCGATGTTGATCGAATAGAAAAGTTTAAGTCATCATTTAATTATTGCTTTGTATAAACGACCAAGACTAAATAGAATCCTAATTCAAAATTTAAGAATATAATTGGAATTTATAAAAGTATATGGGCTATATAGAATTGAAACGATTGGTAGTATTAAGAACTATCTTGTGATGTAATATAAAAAATAGTGAGACTTGAATCTTTTAAACGAATGTTAATGTCTTAATAAGTTGAGTTATATTTAGGTTAAAGTTACATTACTAAATTTATAAGGAGAAAAAAGGAAAAAAACCAACAATATGCCAACTTAAAATGATTTGAATCCAACGTTGCATTGTGAGATATACTGATGTAGTGTTGAATTCGCGCAAAAGACAATTAAACTGTACACAGGACAATTTTATGTTGACCCCTAATGCTTATGCATGAATCAATCCCAAAAATTACCAAATATTGAAATAACAAACAAATTGGTTTATTAATAAAACAAAAGAAATTGGGAACAAGGTTCAATATCACTTTAACAAATTTTTTCTTTTTTGTAAAAAAATTGGTCTTTGTTCATTGGCTGCTCTAAAAGTCAAGAAACGTGGCATTCCTTTGATATATACATATATATATACACATATACATATATACATATATATAATTCATAAAATTAACTGCATCACGTGCATTAAATATTCTCACCAATATAAAGCGACTATCTTCCACTAATTCATTAATTAATTAATAAATTAGAATTACATTTCTCACATTATCGTCCAATCTTCCATTCGTCGTTTCCTTTTCTTGATCTTTTTGTCATTCAATAATAATAATAATCGCATAAAAAAAATATAAACAGTAGAATGAGACTATGAATCATTCACGAAGTCTTTATACATTTTTTTTTAACAAATTTTGCTATTGAAGTGATAGATCTCATCCGTTCATATTCAATTCTATAGTTCTTCATGATTAATAATATCCTAGGTTTTGAGAGTAAATTTTTATTTGGTTTCTAAATTTAAAAAATTAACCCTACCAATTCCTAGACTAAAAGTATATTTTATCCTACTAGTTAACATCAACCTTACTTAACTAGAAAAAACATTATTTACCTCGTTAAAGATGAAGCTTCAAGTCTTCATGTCTTTACCCGCTTAACCTTAAAATAATTTATATATTTATTTTTTTCCCAACTAATTGAAACAAAAAGGACTATAAATAATTTCACATTTTTGGAAATCTTTATAATTTTTGTAACAACAAATTGTAGTGATAGATTTCATTAGTTCATATTAGAGTTAACATGATCAAATAATACTATTTATTAGCTAACAATTAATATGAAGATAACTTAACTAGTAAATGCAATATTATTTACCTAACATTGAAAGTTTAGGCTCCACTCTATGTTGAAATATATAGGTATACATTATAACTATTTTATTCTAAATATTTTTTATAATTTCGCATAAAACAAATGAGGGGACTATTAAATAATTTCATATTTCTTATTCTATTTCATTTCTTAATTCACTTGATCGAAAAAGCACTAATCAAATCATTAGAATATTTTTAAAAAATAAAACATAGCTCTTATAACGATACGATAAGTTAAGAAGGTATAATAAAGATAATTTATTACAATTCTATTTCATTTCTTAATTTACTTGATCGAAAAAGCACTAATCAAATCATTAGAATATTTTTAAAAAATAAAACATAGCTCTTATAACGATACGATAAGTTAAGAAGGTATAATAAAGATAATTTATTACAAATTTTCGTGGTCGATTTCGATTCTCAATACTAGCTAGGTAGGTATATATGGGACTTGGGTATTTTGTTGAGATGTGACCAAATCCCATAAAACAAGGTATGAATGTAAAATTTGACAAACAAATTAAATAATTAGCATATAATGACAGATCATGAAAATAAGGTATTAATGTGAGATTCTCCCTTGACTTCTCTCCACACACTCCTCCCAACAAAATACAGACCAAATCAATGTTTAAAAAATTAATGTTTGAATTTCTTGTACTCTTCACAGCCCCCTTTTTTTAAAATATAATTTTCTTGTCTTTTTAGTTAATTAATTAATGTTATTTTGTTTCTGTTCCCTTCTCTCTTCCCACTCTCTTGTGCATCAAAATTATTATTGTTTATTTTTTTGGTCAGAAATCAAACACATATTATTACTCAACTGATAAAAAATGAGTTGATATCAGAAGGAATCGATTATGAATTTGAATCTCCCAACAGTTTACGGTAAAAAAAAAATCGACTCATTTAACTTAACACAACTTCTTCCTTACAAGTCCATTGTTTTAATCCTCACCTATAGGAGTGTTCAAAAAAATCGATCAACTCAATCCAAATTATACTATTCACGTTGGATTATATATTATAAACTTGTTTGGGTTGAGTCGAGTTCAAATAAATGAAAATTCTATGGGTTCGGTTTGGTTTAAGAGTTTACCTAAAGTATGTTCTAGTCCAATCTAACACACTCGAACTTATTATTAATTTTAAAACTTTTTGTTTTATTCATTATAAAAGTTATATATAGTTATATTTATTTTAATTTTATTTCATTCAATAATTTTTATGGATTATTTATTTTACAATGGCTTTCAAACCAACTTTTTAAATTTTTTTAGTGTATTTTTTCACATATAAATAAAACTTGTACTCAAATAAAAATAAAAATAAACATCGACGTAAGGATCTTGATTCAACGTTAGTCAATATCTACATACATGTTTAAGATATTATTACTTATTTGTTTTGATATACAATACTTTGAATAAGTGATCCAAATAACTCGAACCTACCAACTCTAATATTTGATGGTTTGATTGGGTTGGATTTATTATTTAATAAAAATGATTTGGATTGAATAAATTTATAATCTGAAGAAATGAGTTGGTCTAAAAAATACGTGAACCCAACTCAACTTAACCATGAACACTCCACACTTATATTTCAACAAAATCGACCCACTTATAAAGTAAAAGTATTTCGTAATACTTTTGGTAAATTTGAGAATTAGAAACATGATTCTTTCAAGACTATTAATATTTTTTTTCAAACAAATAGTTTTATTTTATTCAACGAATTTATGCTTTCAATTGTGCTTCTTTACTCCAGAATTCTCTCATATCAGAGGCTCTTTTTTCTTCAGCAAAATCCAGCTGCACTACCTTTTGGTATTCTGTAGTGAACTCGCTCATATGGCACATTTGGTTGGAGTGAAACAACCGAATATTCTCTGATCGTGATTCGTCATCACTCATCTTTGGGAGAATATCAAAATTTCAGCCTCCAATTGGTCCTCCAAAACCTCCCTTTTTGTTATTATGATATTTCTACCATATCGCTTAACAGAAGTACTTTAATATATCCCCTTTATATGTTCCTCACATACTTCCTAATGAATTGACTCGTATCTTAAAGAAAAACAAAAAACAAACATGAGTTTTACATCATTAATCTTACGGGTTAATGTGTTTGGTGTATTAGTTCAAGTGTTCATATGTACATCAACTTGAGTATAGGTCAACTAACTAAAACATATAACAAAAAATGTCAGTAGTTCGAATCTCTCACAGATTACAAAAGGAAAAATAAAAAAAAAACAAAACAAAAGTCTTAAAAGAGGTACTTTCATATTAAATTTTCTAACTTCAAATCTTTATAGAATCATTTGGTAGTCTTGTCAATAAAAAATGACAAATAAAGTTTAGAATAGGTGGGGAGACCATCTTTTCACACATTAATTACTTATCAAAATATGTATAACAACTTTAAATTTCTTAGAGCTCATTAAATTATCCACTAGTTTTAAAATTAAATTTCATAGATTAAAGTAATATTCTCGAATTTTTGTAGGTTTTAATATATAATTTATTGTGGATAAATATATGTAGGTGTTAATATATTGATCTGATTCAATACTATTAATATGAAATAAGAAAATAAATTACATAGGTTTCCTTTTAGAATATAGCATTACAAAAATTTTAAAATTACAAAAAATAAATCATCAGAAAAGATTTTTCTTAAAAATTATATAAAAATAAATATAAACTATTCAAATCTAAGAAAATTCAAGATTTTTTTTTCGAAAGAAAAGAATTAAATGCATTGAATCTTGTTCTATATACATACACAAATTTAGAAACCCTAATGTAGAATTTCGAGGGATGGTTGACATTTGATACAATTATTTAATAATAATAAACACTTGGAAGGTTGATTTGTCTTAATAATTAATATGATTAATAAATATGTCAGTCATAAATTCAATTTAATTATTTTTATTTTCCGCATTGATCGCTCCCGAGATTTTTTTTATTTCATAATCTTTTATGTTTTTGTCAGAAAATGAACCAAAATAAAACACATTCCAATAAACTTTTATTAGTTTTGGTTCCCAAAAAGAAAACATTGTTTTTTTTAATTATTTATGGTTTTTTAGTGCTTCCATGACTCTCTAGAAACC